GTGTGTATGTGTGTGTGTCGGTACGCACACATACGTGTACGTAAGTACGTACATGTGTGCGTGCATGTCACCGCGAGAAATAGTGGCGCGTATGCGCGCGCGCGAGTGTCTGCGTACGTGTGTCGTAATATCGTGCCAAGGAGAGAGAATAAGAGTCTTGGCGAGAGACACCCGATCGTGTCGTGTTGCTTGCTCGCCATATTTCGTGCGAAATTTCGTCGCGACGATGTCTTCCCGTCGCCGACGCCTGGGAAGACGTCTTCGAGGGGCTCGATTCTCTCTCTCCCCCTGCCCCTCTCTCTGTAGCTTCCCCTCTCTTTAATTATTGCTCCGCTCCCTCCTCCATATGTCTCTCTCTCTTTCTCTCTCTCTGTCTCTCCTCGCAATCCGTTCTCCTTCAAGATCACGTTCGAGAGAGGGCCACTTGATTCTTTGCCGAACAGCTGCTCTCTCTTTCTCCTTTTCTTCCTTCCCTTTTTACGCCCGTTACAAGAAGAATTTTCTCGAAGGCCGGTAAACTCCGAAAATTCGATACGCTTCCCTCCGTCTCGGTATGTGGTCGCCCTTTTTCTCTGCGGCTTTGGAGTAACAGCGGCGCCGAGCGAGTTAAGCGAGCGAGTCGCGCGCGATGTCGACACGTCTGCTGCTTTGACAACGGCAAATTACGTAATACACGAGAGCGGGAGAACGAGCCGTACCGAATAAAAAAAATTAAGTCCACCCCATACGCGTGTAACGGGATTCGAACGCATTTTCGCGCGTACGGAGTCTCCGATGAGAACGATAAGAGAATCTTTTCCAAGTCTCCCGAATATTCCTCCGACGTAATCGCGAGGATCTTGCAAGGATCCACCACGAGAGCGTGAAAACAGATGAATCATCTCGTCGCGTAGTGTCACGTCGCAGATGGCAAGATTTCTGCAAGTTAATCTCCTGGACGCGCTCGTATGCGAATTTTCGTATTATTTTTGTATCCTCCTGTAATTCTCAATGACTGTTAAATACCGACGTGTCGGCGATTCGGGCCGACCGAATCCCCCGGGGCCTAAAAAAATTGTAACACGTGGTTTCTGTCTCGCTCTTTCTCTTTTTCTTCTCTCTCTCTCTCTCTCTCTCTCTCTCTCTCTTATCTTGATTATGATGTACTCGCTATTATGCTTTACCTCTTGATGCGATAATTTGTTAACTAGTCCGCATTTAGCAGAAGAGATCTTTAAATAGTTTTTCATTCCTCAAGTGTATCAACTTGCGTCTTTTGAGAGTTGAGACTCTCATATTCGTTTGCCGATATATTATTTTCTTTCCTGATTTTATTTTTTAAAAAACATACTTTTTGCGGTTACAGTCTCTCTGTTCTTATAATGTATTTTATACAATGTTTTTGACAAGCGCTGGAGGGGACTGTATCTCGGAGCGCTCAATAAATTCCAATTCGATCAATCAATTAATCGGTTTTTTTATTACAATAATATATTTTGCTATGTGTTTTCAGTCGTTTATTATTTTTTTTCTTTTTACTTTTAATTTGATTTCTATTACTCTTGCAATCAAATTTGTTTTATCAATTGTTGTTTTGTTTAGCGCTTGAGAGAATTTTCTAGACTATATTCTGGAGCGTTCGAATGAATGGCGATATCTATCTCTTTTTCTCCGTCCGCCCTTTTTATTTTTACAACTTGGTGATTTTCTGACCGCGCGCGTTTTAAACCGAGGAATATACGCGGTCTAACGAGCATGAAGCGTTGTAAAGCGATTGCGAATTCTTACATCAGCTGATTCTAACCTCCCGGACGAGATTCGAAAGTAGAGGAGCCGTTGCACGGGTGGGGCGTGACTTCGTCAAAATATCGTCGTTGAATGTACGAGTGCCTTTATATCCCCGAGACCGCGAGATAGCGAGAAATTTCGTATGCAACCTCGCCGCTTTGAGTATCGTCGATATCTCAAAGCGTCTTTTTGTTTCACTTTTATTACGTGACTTGTAATTCGCCTCTCGACGCGAATTGCGCTGTACACGTTGCGGCGACGTGCCGGTAAAGCAAGCCGGAAAACGATCTCGATGTAAAATAACAATTTCGCCATCCGGTATTTTCAAACGACACTTGACGGGAAAATCGACTTTTCGTATTACCGCGATAAATATTTATTTACGCGCTGCGAACCGATCGCGGAAAGTTCCATCGCGAATAAATTCTATGAGTTTTAGAAGCCGTGCATTTGCTCAAACTCGTTTAAGTAATGAGATTTTAATGTTTATCCCTACCAGTTCCGTTTCAGATCATTGAATCACTAACTACTTTGATAAAATAATGATAACAATTGACGTCACGTATAAAATAAAGATTAACAGATAGCAAAGTCACACTTTAACATTTCATCTGCATCTATTTATCTCGATTAGTATAAAACATCTACTTTAATTAATCTTAAGCATCTACGAGAAAGATAACCGAAAACTTGAAGTTATCATGTCGAAATGGATATCTCTTTTCGTTAATTAATAATACATCAACGACAGAGAATTATCTGTTTAAGACGTAATAAATTGTTGGTGA